TTCTTTTTTTTTTTTTTTTTATTTCTCACTGCATTCGCTTTTTGTGGCCGGTTTTTTTTCGGTTTTTGTCGACGCGAGATTTCACGAAGGGACGAGAGCATTCTGGCCGGTGAAAGTCGGGTTCAATTTGTGTCGGTTTTACCGCTTTATTCTTTTTGCTACTGCAACCAAAAAATTGTGGATCATGCTGTTAACGCTGCAAGAAGAGGATGGTTAACCCTTCTAGTGGTGAGTAATGGCTTTATGATTTATCTTAATATTTCTTTCTTTTTTTTACTTTTATCATGGATTATTTTACATAATTTTCTGTTCTTTTTCTTTTCGTCTCATATTTGTCGAAGAGACTTTTTTTTTATTTCTTTTTTTGCTTTTTAATCATTATTAAGATTAACTCTTATTGTTAATAAATTTGGTTCATTTGTGTCCCATATTCGTATTTTTTATCTGGCTAAAGGATTTTCTTTTTTAAGGAATAATAAAATCTGAAAAAATTCATCACGATATCTTCAAACATTCTTCAAATCGAGATTACTGTGAAAGATTTGAGGAACAATTTGTTTAAATACATAACTCGATCGGATACGAATGAATTCGATTTATATGGAACAAGAGTTAATGTTTACGAGATATTTACACACCACTAAAAGGGTTAATACAAAGAAAAAAAAATTTTTTTTTTTTTTAATGATTCTTGGATCGTGCAGAGATCGTAAATTATGAGAGAAGATAAAAAAATAACAATCACTAATCTTGGTGATTTTTATGCGACGATACGATCCCATTTACACTATTCCAAAAAATTTACACGCTATCGTTTAAAAGTTTGGAAGCAATAAGATACTTTGAATAAAAATCCAAAATTTGTTGAATAATAAGATAGATAAGAAAATTTCGAACGAGTGTTAAATCATTTTAATTTCACCTCTAAATAAATTTTGATATTTCAGTGCAAAATTACTAAGATTGCTTCCAAACTTTTGAACGATAGCGTTTCATCCACAAAAAAAAAAAAAAGCTACACGAATACCCTTCGAAAGAATATTTCGAATCTTTCGTTCACGAGCCGGAAGCAAGGTTCAACCGGAAGTTATAAATAACTAAATCGAGAAATTCTGTTGAACAATCCAGTATATTTAATATTACTTTCCAATTATTATAAACAATCAAAAATACATTTTTTGGGTCCTCACCTTGACAGTTTGAAATTTCTCCATTTCTTTTTTTTCCTTTTTTTTTTCTTTTCAAAATATTATCGAGAGAACGAGTTTTTTTTTTTTTACACAAGAAGAGGTGAAAATATTGTTCGCGGTTCTTTTAAGGGATACTATAATGTGAACTATACAAAAATTTGTTTACTAGGTAGTGTCTTTTGATATTCTTGTCGTTCAATTCTTTGTTTTATTTTTGTTGTTGTTGTTGTTGTTGTTGTTGTTGTTGTAATCGTTTCGACTGACCTTCGAATCTCCAGCGCCGAGGAACATTAGGCCCATAGCACCAGCATACGCCAACAGCGTTTCCACAACTTGTTGGGTCTCGAGGAGGATTCTAGTTTCGTTCATCCAATCCTTGGCGACCGATCTTGGCGCCCCCTTTAGAAGATTCATATAGCGAAGGGTCATTTTGAAGTCGCCACGATCCAGCCAATACCTGGAACAGAAATCGAGGAATTTGTCAATAAGAGATATTGGAATATATATTTTCATCGTGTTTTCATTATTTTATTAGAATATAAAGAAAACTTTTTCTCCATTTCGTATCGGACGACGAATGAAATTATTTTGTATTCACAGATTTTATTAAAAAAGAAAAATAGACTGTGAATATATACGATTGATTTGAATTTTAGATTTTTATTATTTGAAAAAATTATCCCTTTTTAATAGAGAGAAGAAAATATTTAGATTGGATTATTGAAATAAAAAGAGAAGAAGAATTCTTTAAAAATAAAATGTATTTATATTTGCGATGAGAGAAGTTTTTTTTTTTATTCGAACAAATTCTATTTTAAAATTTTACATTTATCAAATCTATCAACAATTATTATTAAATTTATACGTTAATGATTTAAATTTCATCTCTAAAATAAAAAAAAAAGAAAAAAATGTTGAAATAAAATAAAAGATAAAAAGCAGTGGAAAATCGAAGCCTGATATTCGATAATCTCGATAGAGGGTGCTTTCAGGAAACGATCATTGAAATTATTTGTGGAGCGAACGAGGCACAAACATAAAAATGTGGGGGATTGGAATCGTCTCAAAAAATTTGCTATTTCCCGAAAATTCTTGCAAAATAATTGGTTCGATTAGCTTTCGATTAGTTTATTTTTTACTTTATCCTTAAAAGAAGGGAGGGAGAGGGGAAATATTGTTGAAAGTAATGAAAAAAATTTTTTTTCAATAATGAAGAGAGATTTGAAAAGTAATTCGATTTAATAAATTTTTCAAGTATTACACTGATAACGTCAAAAGGATTTTGAATTTTTTAATTAAAGAATATATAAACTATACTCTTATGAAAGACTTGTAATAATTCCAAAAGTATTTATCAAACCTCTTTAAACCGCTAATTAATCATATTAATTATCAAAAAAAAAAAAAAAAAAAACAAACTCGATTATCTTGCATGCAATATTACATTTTTATAAAATTTTTTACACTATTCGTTTTTCATTTATTGTACGACTCTTCAAAAATTTATTAAATTATTCTCCAAATTTTTACTGGAAAAAAAAATTTATTTTTTTTTTTTTTTTCAATTTAAGAAGAATCCACGAAATTAAATATTATAAATTTTTCTAAAAGATCACACTTTATTAACACCAATTTGACAATTTATCGAATAAAATTAATTAAAATTGTTATTATACAAAAAATATTCCTTCATCCCCTATAAAGAATTCAATATAACAACAAAAAAAAATCCTCTTTGCGAAAAAGCGATTAGTTAAAAAGTGATTATAACGATTTAAATTCAAGCGAGTTGGGGGTGGGGGGAGTCGTAGATCGGTCGTAGATCCACCCATGAAAACTTTTTTCCTCGTGGAGCCGTTTTCCAGGCCAGGGGTTAATGTAATGGCCGTGTCGTCGATCGAACGAACTTCTCGAAGCGTATCGATTAATTGTCGCTCTCTGATGAAATCGAGGAAGGGGAGAGAAGGAGGGGAAGTGGTTGTTTTGTCGTGGACGACGTTATTATAAAAATGAAGGAGGGATTCGTCGATTCTGTGGCTCGGAGTGTGAATTAATTAATGAGGTTTTCGGTGGAATTTCAACAATGGGGAAGGGATTGGAATAGGGTTGAAGAAAGAGGGTTGTTTTTTTTGTGACTAAGAATCACGTTAATCGAAATAAGATATAAATATTTCGAGTTATTCAAGGATAAATTGAAAAATTTGCTTGAAAATGGAATTTGTGGGAATTATAAGCATTGTTTGAATTTTAAATGTATTTTAATGCACAATGCATTCATTTTATAATGGAGTAAATTTATTTGATTATAAATATTATTTTTTCCATTTTAATGTTGCAAGTGTAAAATATTACTTAGAGATTTATATTTGAGATATTTATTGTACGTTGATTGATACAAGAATCAATTTTTGCAATATATTTTATAATATAAATATTTAAAGTTACGTATGTTGATATTTAAATTTGTTTTGTGCAATTTATTTTTATAAGAATAATATTATTTCAATGAATTTCAAGTATGAAAGAAGAAATCCTATGATACATTTTAATTAAGATAAAAAAAGATAAAAAAAAAAATAAAGAGAAGAATTACATTGAATGTATTAATACAAAAATTAGAATAAATTATAACACATTAATAAAATTATTCAATAAAAAATTGCAATTAAATTCAACCCCCTCTAAAACAGAGCCATGATCGATTCGCGACATTCGAGAAGAGAAATTCGCTTTCTCTAAAATGCGTGCGACGTATTCTCAAAGAATATTTCACTTGTTTGCTGAACAAGCATCAAAGAAATTTCAATCTCGTTTGAGCAAGAAGCGCGAATACAAAAAACATGCCTCTCCATTCTTCCTCCTTTTTTCCCCTTTTTCTTTTTTCATCGCACATATCCATATCAAGGGAGAAGAACAAAGGAGGAGAAATTAGACGAGGCAATCTTCTAATTAGATTCTGCGAGTCTAAAGACTTGATTAAAAATCATTACGAAGAGATTGCTCCTTCATCCCTTGAGACTGGATGATTTGTAAACAAACACATTGGACTTTTTCCTTTTTTAATGCAAAAGTCCATCTGGAAATTGTATCTGGGATTGAATTAATAAAAGAATTAAAATGAAGAATTATAATTTAAAATTTAATGTAATATTCATAATTCTTTCAAAATTTTGTTACAAATTAATCAAAAAAAAGTATTCAAGTAATATGATATATAAGTGACAAATAATTATCTTTGCTTTATATAATTTTATATTCAACTATTTATCATTCTAATAAGTGAACATTCAATTTTGAAATCAGATTTAAATTTTCAATTATTCATAATTCATATTAAGATTAACTTTGGAATGATACCAAAATGATGAATTTCAGACACTATTTCAACTATGGAGAAATATTTGGATATATATTATGCTACAGGTAATTAAAACTTTGAGTAACTTGTTAAGTGAAATTAAGTTAAACGCAGAAAAAAAAAAGAATCCTCATTTGCCTTAATAATAGTAAAACTAGAAGGCAACTTCGTACAGCCACAAGAATGGCCAGAGAGAGGTTTAAATTATACCTTCATTTGCTAGAAAATTGTGGTCCATGCTGAATTACAAAGCTCTAAACTCACATTCAGAACATTAATTAAAGTTGTTCTGACGATAAGGGGATAAAATACTGTGCGATATATTTAAATTGTTACTACACTTTTATTTTATAGACACGTCCCACTTCGTGTTATGAGTTCCAAAGAAGAAGAATCTTCTCTAAACTTCTCTGGAAAAATAAAATTCAGATCGATGTTTCAAATTAAAGGTACAAACGATATTTAATTTTATATATAAAATACAATAAATACAATTTAAAAATATTGAAAATTATTGGATTAATATAATAATTCGATCGCTTTCTATTAATTGAGAAAGCAAAATCTATCTCGAAAGGATTGAAAATAGAGAAAGAAAAAAAAAAAAAAAAAAGATGTTTGGGGACCCAATTCTAACACGAAGTCCTCACTCACGTCAGTTGCAAAGACAGAGAGAAACGCTAAATCCCGAGTTTTAATTAGAATCCTGCAGTTTATAGGCGAGTGCAGGAACTTCGAAATGGAACGGAAATCTGTTACGTTCCATTCGTGCAATGGCCACGAAGAAACGATGCGAGAAAAGGAGAAGAATTCGTAGATAAAGGAAATAAAAACTGTATGCTTGCTTCTTGATAGATATAATTTAAAAAAAAAAAAAAAAATTCCATTATTCATTCGACCGAAATTTTTAACCTCGACAAGTTGAAAAACATCGATAGTAGCAAATTCAACAATCAAAGTTTTTCAATTTGATTGTAAAAGTTCCAGATTCCTTGCTCAACCTCCCTTTCTTCCGCCATCATGCTACAACGTACGTGATCGACCGTGAACACGAAGCGCGAATACCACCGCGTGTAAACCGGCTGCTGCTCGTGAAACGCCCCCACACATACACAAACACACACCCACACAGACATATGTTACACACGACACGAAGGGAAATAAAATATGCGGCCGTTATACAAGGTGCCCGCTTTCAATCCTTTCACATCGATATAAAATATTACGGGCAATGTTTTTCAGGAAACATCCCTCTATTGGTGAGAACTGGAGTTATGTTGATATAATCGTGGAGGACTATATATTCTGGAGGGAAAAGTTGCAATGCAAAAAAATGTGGGCTGTGTCTTTTGAATGATTTTAAATATTTCGGTATTTTTCGATTTAATTATCATTTCTATAACAATGCGTAGAATGGAAAGATAATCGAAAAATGATAAAAATTAGCGAAATATTGCATGGAATATCTTTTATTGTTAGAATTAGAATAATTTTATTTTATTTTATCTTCAATAAGAAATTAGGAATGGCACGATAAATATTTATATTAATTTTATTATTTATTATTTATACTATTATTCTTGCAACAAAGATTTATTGATCAATAAGGCAGATCGGATACAATGTTTTCTACGAAATATTTTTGTATTTTCGTTAAAGATAGACACTCCATACGAGATAAAAAGATGGTAAATGAATGTTTTAACCGGAAGTGTAATGTGGTCCACAGAGAGGGTTACTAGGGACGTGACCGGATGCTCCCCTTCAATATTAAACTTTAATATTCGATGGCCACTCTTTTTTATCGATACCTAGTTCTGCTAGCGATGTTTTTATGGAAGACTTCAATGTAATTTTTCTACAAATGGCTTTTAGAAAAATGATGAAATCCTATTTTAATAGTACTTTCAAATTAGATTATTCGTAATTTTATTTCTTAAAAGAAAAAAAAAAAATTATAATTTAAAATTTATCGTTATATATCTTGAAGGAAAGGGAGAAAGTAACATCTCTTATAATAATTTATGCTAATTTATTCTTATAATCGTTTATAATCGAAATAATCATCCCCTTGATCGAGAAAATTAAAATCTCAACGA